CTAAAATTCAGTAAAATAAAAATAAATAAATCCAACACAATGCCGATCAATCATATATGTGAATGAATGTCTAAGCCTACACAACATGCTCAATGTGTCAAACACAGACTCATACACACATATGCACACGCACAGCCCCAGAAGTAGCCCCCACCCCTGCTCCTACGGTCAAATAGTGGCATTGAAATAATTGATTTTTTTATGGCGTTGTAAGTCACCAGATGTTGCCATTTGTGGTTGGTCTGAACTGACTGCAGTGATATTTTTGCTAGAGTTAAAGAAATACCTCAGTAATATAGCATCAAAATTAAGCATATGTTTACATAAATGTCCAATTAAAAATGCGAAAATCATTTTCTTTTATTTATTTAAATAGTTTCTTTTTATAAGGTTGCTACTTAAACCAAGTGAAAAAATATAAATAAATAATAAAAAGAAGACTTACTTCAACAAAATTCAAGTTCAGTTGATTTATCATTAATTCTATAGCGCTTTTACAATGTAGAATGTTTCAAAGCAGCTTAACACAGAAGTCCAACTCTATAGGAAATAAATGGAGAATACTAAAATCAAAAATTATTTTTTTAATTCGTACTTTCAGAAAAATATGAGTATAAAAAGCATTGATTTATTAATTCCTTAAATTTATATAGTGTTTTTCTAGACACTCAAAGTGCTTTAAACATTTTTTTTGGGGGGGGGGGGGGGGGGGGGGGGGTGGATCTCCTCATCCACCACCAGTGTGCAGCATCCACCTGGATGACATGACGGCAGCCATATTGCGCCAGACCGCACTCCACACACCTGCTGATTGGTAAAGGGATGAAGCCAATTATGATATGGGGATGCTTAGGAGGCCATGATGGACAAAGGGGCAGTGGGTAAATTTGGCTTAGACCCCTACTCTTTTACAAAGGACATTTTTAACAACCACAGAGAGTCAAGATCTTGGTTTAATGTCTCACTAAGCAGTATAGATCAATATACTAGGGCATTAGGACCCACACAGACTGCTGTTCACACTAACACTAACACCACTTCCGGCAGCAACCTAGCTTTCCCATGTGGTCTCCCAACCAGGTACTGACCCTGCTTAGCTTCAGTGGACGACCATGTGAGAGTTGTAGAGAGCTAGTTGCCGGCTGATAGATTTTATTTTTTCAAAGACAATGACACTTAAAACCTTCAAACCTATAAGCGTCCATAAGAAATAATTAAGGGCTGCAGTATGATATATGCATAAAACAGCTAAAAAAAAAAAAAGCACATGAGTGAATGATGCAATTTATTCACAGCAAATTCTTTCTCATGAAAGTAAAAATAAGGTGAAAATACATTTGCAGCAATATTTTGATAAACATCAAGACGCCTCCCATGCGGATAAGAGCGACATTTATATGAATATGTAAATGTGCTGCCCTCAAAATAACACTGTATTGAAAATGACAGTAGGGAGAAAACCAACTAAATAAAGCAATGCTTGCTAAAAAAATTTGTTTCATAAATGATGGGAGAAACTGTAATCAATGAACAAACCCAGGCTCAACAGCAAAACAATGAGAAAACAAATCTCATCGGTTCTTGTGGAAGCTCAAATGTATTGAATGAAATGCAAAAATCTTACCATCGTTATTATTCTTACGATGAACTAATCACTGCTTTGGAATGACACGAGGATGAGTAACTGATGACCACAATCATTTTGAGTAACTGTTTAAATTTTAAACCAAATTATTTTCTATAAACTCTTTTCTTGGGTGTCACGGTGGCACAGTGAGTAGCACGATCGCCTCAGAACAAGAAGGTCACTGGTTCGAGCCTCAGCTGGGTCAATTGGCATTTCTGTGTGGAGTTTGCATGTTCTCCCTGTGTTCCCGTGGTTTTCCTCCAAGGGGTCAGGTTTCCCCCACAGTCCAAAGACATGCGCTAAAGGTGAACTAAAATTGTCTATAGTGTATGAGTGTGTATGTGTGTTTCCCAGTGTTGTGTAAAATATATGCTGATTAGTTGGCGGTTCATTCCACAGTGGCAACCCCTGATTAATAAGAGGACTAAGCCAAAAAGAAATTAATAAATGAAACTCTTAGGCAATAGCTGGGCTACACACACACACACTGGGACAGTTATCTTTCTTGGGACTTCCCATAGACATATTTATTTGTATACTGTACAAACTGTATGTTTTTCTATTTCCCTACCCCTAAATCCATCCAACCCTCATAGAAATGTTCTAAATATTTCATTGTGTGAGATTTATGAGCCTTTTTCTTCATGGGACCAAAAAATATTTATCCACAAGATCAACATTTACTGGTTTTGCTATACTTGTGGGGACATTTGGTACATTTGCATATACCAAAGTACATGCAAAGTACATTGGGAGTACACACACATACACTGCCACCAAAAAAGCAGGTGTAATAGGAATTTAGTAATTTTTGAATGATCTAATGTGCATTACTTCACTGAATCAGAATATACCAGTGCATGCAAATACCTGATGCAATCAATAAGAACAATTCATTCTTAGCGATTGCGCTGAAATTGAAATATATGCCAATTCATGACACAGCGCCAAGGCAAACAAGATTGTCTTATGGACATATTCTCATTCAGACATAATAGTGCGCATTAATCAAACCCCGGGTGACGGGTAATCAACAAGCCATCTATAGGTCTGCAACGCAGCACCTACACCAATCCTCTCAGGAGAGTTCAAGATTCCGATATGAAGCGATCTGATTTCGGAGAGTTTACAATCCGCAAACAAGTCAGCTTTGATTTAGAGGGAAGCAAACTGGGTCGTATATATGCTCAGCACGCCGGTCCACAGCTGTAATGGCCGTGTTTTTGGTGGCAGCCCGACACGTCCACCCCGTTTCATCAGCTGGAGAGCAGGCTGACAGACTGTGACATCCCTATTGAGCTGTGCTATACTGAGCCCGCAAGTTCATTATTCATCTCCTGCCTGCACTGACACCTCTCTTAATGGCTCTCCGCTCTACAATCCTATATTTATCCCATTTACAATCACTAAAGCTTATTTAATACCTGCCTAAAACTGTGGTTAGACACTGTGGAATTCCACGGCACATTCAGGATTGGAAGGTTTATGGGTGGTGTCAAGACCACGTGGTTTGCTGTAATGAAAGGAGGAAACATTTTTTAATGGAAACTTCTTTCTACTATTAAATAAAACATACATAACCATATAGTTGAACATATTCGTACTAAATGCAAACAGCACTTGCAAAGGAAAAACTGTAGCTGCTGCTGGTAGACAGACCAAGCAAATAAATATATCAAACAACAGGATGAAAATGAAAGACTACTTTTACATGCACAAAAAGTGTGGTAGTGTGCAGATTTATTTAGTGTTTGTTTGTATTTTATATGCACAAAATATGCATTGTCATTGCTGACCAGTTAAAATAGCTTAGCAGTGCTTCTGCTGAGCAATGTTGAAAAATACACAGACAGACAAAGATAATTCATACAAGCTAAAATCTCTCTCTAATATCTGCATTAATCTGCAGGTTTATTGCCACTGCTTAAAGAAAAATATGACTTTAACTTAGCTTCAATCTTTCAACTTTAACTTTAATTTGACTTGAAATTAGCAATTGAAGCTTAAAAAAAAATCAGGCATTAACACAATTCCACAGATATATTTTGTTCACTCCACTTAATTTCAGTCTTCATAAGATTATTTTAATTTTAAAGTGTGGGATGAGAAGAAATTCAAGAGTTCACAGTTAGCTGATGATTGATAATAAAGCTTGTTTGGCATGCTGTTTCAGTAGAGAGCCCTGAGCTTATACAATTCTCGAGCCCTGGGCTCCCTCCCATTAGCAGGGCGAGAGGGAAGTTTGAGCTCAGGCAGATCTCGATGAGCTTCATCGACTTTTTTCTGGTTAATGACAGATATAGGGATGGCTTAAGAGAGATATACATCTTATTAAGAGCTTGATTATGTCAATTTGATATTTCCAATGTACTTATCTTGCGTGTTTCTTTGAGAGGAAACCAGGGGTACCTGGGGAAAATCACGCAAGCACAGGGGGAACAAGTAAACTTCACAGAAATGTCGACAGGTTCAGTAGGGACTTTAACCAGTGACATTCTTGCTGTGAGGCAACAGTGCTAATCACTGGGCCGGCGTGTCACCCATCTAGAAAGAATGTGAAGTAGGTTTGGGTGGGGTTGACTCTTCAAGACGAAGATACTGGGGTAAGAAACTCTAGTTATTTAAAGTGAGTTGGGAATCGTCTGATTGGTAAATCATGCATTAGGTAATGTGGGACCAGCATGGACAATCATAAGCATGTGATCCTCTCGAAATTAATTTATAAATAAACTTCACTAAGAGGCGCATGATATAAAAAAAATTAAAAAAAACTTCTTGAAATACAGTAAAACGTTAGTTTGTTAGATGTGCTAACTGTGGCACAATATAGGATGGATAGTTGAATTATTAGAAAACATAATAAACACAATGTGCACTCCACATTGTGACTACATTACCACCACTTCGGCTGTACAGTATAAGTTAAAGTATAAGTTTTCAGATAAACTTAGCATGCTTCTTTAATATCTGCAAACCTATTATTTTATTTTTATGTTTTAGAAGAGTCAAAAACTAACAAACAGCACCTTTAAGTTTGTAAAATCAATTTGGGTTTGGACAATATTAATAAATTATGAAACTTGTGAACTTGTGGTAGCCTGCATGTTTTTACAGTGTTAGTGTGATGTGTGAGATTGGTAATCCATAACATAGTTTTGTATAGCAGGTTCTGATCAAATCTAAATACTTAATGTAATCAGAATTGTATCTGGTGACTATGGTACAAATACTGCATGTATTTTTGTTTATATGTTGTCATTTGAAAGTGTCCTTTTGTTCTGTGTTCATTTAGAAAATGGAAAATAACGCATAAAATAATCCTTTAGTTTAATGATTTAAAAGTGATAATCCCTGTTTGTGTGAATTTTTCCAGGTCACGTTCCCAGTGCGGATCTTCAAATTAATGGGTGTGGAGACCATTATCGTAACAAACGCCTCTGGAGGACTTTGTCAGGATTTCAAAGTGGGAGACATCATGGTCATTAAGGACCATATTAACTTGCCGGGCTTTGCTGGACAGCACCCGCTGTGTGGTCCAAATGATGAACGGTACAGACAAGACAGAGAAAAAAATAAAAAGCAGAATAATGTGACAAAGTTTGAGGGAGGTTTTCACTGTCTTTTTACAGCTTATTTCATGTCTTTCTTCAGGTTTGGCATCCGGTTTCCTTGCATGTCTGATGCTTACAGCAAAGACCTCAGGAAACTAGTTATGGACATCACTGCAGAGCTGGGCTACTCCAACTTTGTGCATGAGGGCGTTTACTGTATGGTCAGTGGACCCAACTTTGAAACCATTGCTGAGGCACGCATGCTGCACATCTTGGGGAGCGACTCTGTTGGTATGGATTGAACAAATGCTTACAAAAAGAAAAATGACGAAGGCTACAGAGCTACTGCTGTGAAAGTGTATGACCCAAATTGTTAAAACAGACCATCACTTTATATACAAGTAAACTCTTAAAACATAGTTATACTGATCAAATACTGTTACACATAATCATATAGTTTTTTTTCAGCTTTTCTTCTTAGACTTTTTGTTCCAAAATTTTAATGATGCACTGCTAATTTCATTATCCTAAAATATTAGTTGTAGTTCTGATAATTCTTTAAGAATTAATTAATCATGTTTTGCATTTCTTTAAGGTAAATGTTAGTTAATACAGCAAATGGTTTAAAACAAATTAGAATTAATTATTGAAGAGCCCCTATTGTGGGTTTTTGAAAATGACCTTCTGTGCAGTGTAACACAGCTCTGAAGTGAAGTGAAATATCCAGCTAAGGCTTAAATCTGAAAATGCACTGTGTTTAAAACTACTGATTCATCTATAAAAGAGTTGAATCAGAGTGGTTCAAATGACTCGCTGGGGTAATGAATCTTTAGCTGTGTTGATGTGACATTGATACAGAACTCAAGCCCCACCAATTTTTTGTGAGCGCAGACGTGATATACTTGAAACTCCCGGCCCCACACACAAACACTGTAGAAAGAAAAAGAGGAAGACAAACACTGTACCAGATGCCGGTTGAATCGTGTCATGAAGATGCTGTGCTCTGATGTGTGAGGTGAAGTTAGTGTTATTTTCTCCACCCAAAGATGAGGCTGAGAAGAGTCAGTGGTTGAAGTTTATTTTTGCAAAAATACCTTAGCATTTTAGCCCAGCCTTGTGCTGTGTTCCCATTATTTATTTGACGAGTGCTTCAGCAATCTACATGCTTACAATGGGGGATTTGTCAGCCGTTTGGTAAAGGAAGGATCAGAAAAGACTACTGATGTATGGGACTTTGTCAGAGCTTGGCGGGAACTTTACAGTACACAGTTCATGGATCAGTTTCTTCCTCCATTTCACAAGTGTAAGTGTGATTAAAATGGTTGCCTCCTTGTTTTATCTAGCTTGCAAATTATGTAATCAATTGTGTTTTGTTGATTGCATTTGCTCCATGTAGCTTATATTGTATCCGGTTAACTCTTTATGTTCTCATATTGTGTCTAAAACCACGTTGCAAACGTGACGCGTGATGCATTGTTTATGGATTTAAATGCATTCGTGAGCTCGCGATCACCTGCCGTTTGTTGTTGCTATGTCCACCGTCAGCTGTTCCTACACACGTCCGGGGGTCGAGTTTCAAAATAGTTCAGCTTTTGCTACTGTGTGAATGTGTGTCGTGAATAAAAAATATATACATATATTCTTCAAAATGGTTGATTAGCCATCGTGGGAATTTCTCTCTGTCGCACACTGACGACTAATCGCAACAGACAGGTCATCAGACCAATCGGCGCAGATTAGCATCACGCTAAGGAGAGGTTTGGGAACAAATGAATCGCTGAATGAATGAACAAATCATGAGAGTCATTGGAATAATTAAGTAAAAATAAATGCATATTATAAGACAATGAAAGTGTTTTTGACCTTGCATGCATATCAGACTTTGTTGGAGAACCCTAAAATCAAAATATGACCTTTTTAATGCATACTAAGGCTTCCTCAAAGCATCTATTTTACTTGATTTATTAAAAAAGGAAATCAAGCTTTTGATTTGGCAGGTGTGAATTCTTGAAATTATGATCAATTAATATCACTGATGGTTGAATTTTAAAAACTCCAACAGTCACTCAGTGCCATTAAAATAACACTGTTGAGTTACTCAGTGCTGCCTCAGATATCCGCTCTCTAAGGTGTATGAGGGATTTAACTTGCTGTTTTCTTTGTGCATAATGCCTCTCATTTAATTGGTCCTTCATGAAAATTATGCTCGTTAATAAAGATGTGCCATATTAGCAGAGTAGACCTGACATGTTAACTGATGGAGATTAGGTTCACCCAAAAGGGCCACTTCAATCAATGAGATTAGGTTAATCTGTGATTTGAAAAACCCTCCTAACTGTATGATTGACACAAACTATCCTAACCGCTGGTCCTCTGATGAGCTGAAGGATGACTTCAATAATTAAGCTCAGATTATCAAACAGCAGCATTGGGGGGGTGTAACTATTTTCAGTAGCTGTACAGGTCAGTGTCTGGACCATTTCAGCTTCGCCTTCATGTTTATCCAACAGGACCATAATAATCCTCATGGAGTATTGGGGAGACTTTATTAATCAATCACCCACTGCGCCACAACAGACCACCAATTTTTATGAAAATATCAAATACATGACTATCTGAGAACTCAAGCAGATATTGTATTAATGCTTGTTCAATTTACCCCTAATTGGGTGTAAGCAAAAACATGTGTCACTTTAAATGCAAATGAGCTGCTTTTTTTCTAGAAGAGGGCGGAGCCTTTACAGACTATTCTGATAGAAACAATAAAACAAGCAAAATCTCATGAAAATCTCAAATGTGCATAACCAGTAGCACATTAAAACGCACATAAAAAGCACATAAAAAGCCTTACATGTTCAAAGCAGACACTTTTACAAAAATTGTAAGGTAAATTGAAGTAAAACTTCAGTATAACTGCAGTACAACAGCATTATTTAAAAGTATATCTGCAGTAAAATTAAATACAATTGCAAAATTGCAATACAATGAAATGTAAACATAGTTTAAATACTGTACAAGTTCAACAGCAGTATAAGTTGCAGTAAACTGAAGTAAAAACAAGTAAACTCCGTCTTTACTAATCTTATGCTGCTGTACATGCCAATAGTGTGGTAAGAACTGTACTGCACTTGTGTCCCAAGGGGTTTGCTCTTAAACATTTTCCAAGAACATTTTGTACTTATTTCCAGGGATGTTTTTTGGATTCAAGTAATTTTCTAATTAGAATTTTAAGAGTTTATTTGCAAAAACAAATAATAAAAAATAACTGCGGTGAACAGAACAGTACAAAAGCAGTAGCCTATATACATGGATAAAATTCAATGCAACTACAAAATTGCAGTATAATGAGGTATAAACACAGTTTAATAAACTTCAACAGCAGTAAAATCTGCAGCACAACTAAAGTAACATTAAATAAACAGAGAGGGGCAATGTAGTGATATGTGATCAGTGTTGTGCAAGTTACTTCCAAACTGTAATACATTACAGATTACTTGTTACTGTAATTTAAAAGTAATCCCTTACCTTACAATATTACTGTCTCAGAATTGTAATGTTACATGACTCTTATATTACCTTTTAGTTACTTTCACCAAAATAACTACAGAATTAGAACTTATAAAATGACAAAATGTACTGCAGAGCATTTTACATACAGTAGAAAGCGTGATGTAGCGGAAAGACGGTGACCTATCCAGGCTACTAACAATATAGTATATAAATGCTAACGTTAAGGCTCAAGACTATGCAAGAAAGGATGACAGTCAGAATCACAAATTATCTAAGTCTGTTAAAAGTATGGTAAATGTAAAGTGATTGTCTGGCAATATCTGTGAATAGCTTGGTATTCATATAAGACACAACAGGCCTATATGTAAAGGCCAATGCCATGACAAGATGCAGAATTTTTTTTTTCAGTTCTTATTGTTGCTATTTATTTCACTTTAAATTCAAGTGGTTCACAACACAAAACTGTCATGCACAAAGTGAGCTCTCAATATAAAGTGCAATTAAAGGACCAACCCCTCAACCTCAGTCAATTTAGACCATAGAAATGAACATATAGGCTAAACATCGTCTGCTTAGAGAGAAAAAAAAAACAAAAAACAGATCAAACAGAGATCTATATGCCTCTAAAAAGACTAAATTAATCCACTGACCGACAAACTTAATTTCTGCTGCTTTGACTTATCACTCTTGTCTTTATATGTCAATATATAAACCATATCAACATTCTTGGGATAACTAATTTAACAGGAGGATCTCTGGAGAGCAAAAGCACGAAAAACGGAGAAAACACAAGGCACTAATTATGAGTCTGCATCATCTGACTGAGTGAGAGCAGATCATTCGCACATAAGCAGCCAGTGCGCGCAAGCATCTTATATGCGAGTTCGCGAGCAGTTTTATCCAGGAGCAGAGGAAACCGGTGCATGAACAAAAAGATTTGCTTGCTTGTATTACATGAATGCGCTCTCGACTTGTAATACTGTGCTTATGACATTTGTCAGTGAAATAACGCCAAATGTACGGTCTTTCTGCCATTTTCATCTATTTGCTGCTTTTCCGCTTTTCCTTTTGAGCCAATGGCCTCGGACCTCAAGCTCAGAGGCTGAAATCATTCTGCATTCAAAGTAAAAAGTTTCAATAAACTTTTTCAATTTCATAAATTTCAATTTTTATTTGTTTATGTCTTGCAGGCAAAAAGTTTGTTGTAACGCACGTGTTACTGAACATGTACAGTGTAAAATATTACTGAAAATATATTAGTAATGCCTTACACTGCTGTATTACAGGAAAAATATGTTAATGTAATACATTACTTTAACGCTTTACTCCCAACACTGTTTATTGCACTTAGGTACACAAGTATTAAAAGTGCATTTTAGTTTTATTATACATTATTAAATATAGTATTGTAGATGTAGTCCAACTAACCAACTGTAGTTGGTTATACTTCAGTAAGGTGCAATTAAATATATATTGTGGTAATACTTCAGCAATACAACTGAAGAACTGAAACCTAATTTGGAAACCATTGTCCACCGAGCAGGAAAAGTAGTAGTTGTTCTGCAGTTGTATTGTAGCTGTATTTTAGTTGTATTGCAATAGCGGTATGGCAGTTGTACCACAGTAGTACTTTAGTAGTATTTCAGTAGCAGAACTGCATTATGGTAGTAGTATCACTTCATTACTATTGCAGTAGTTGTACTGTAGTAGTAATTCAGTTGATTTGCAGTAGTTGGATTGCATTTGTATTGTTGTAGTACGGCAGTTGGTTGTATTGTAGTACTTCAGTTGTATTATAATATTGCAATATACACATAAATAATGCAGGTTTTTGTGTCCAAAAAAACTGCACTTTCTAGAAGTTAACTAAAACTGCAATATTCATTTTAAAAACTGCAGCATTCCTTTTTTTATTAAACTGCAGTAACTTTTTGTAAGGAGATGTAGACAGAAATGGAGAGTTAACCTATTTATGTATTTGTTGTGAAACTAGTAAGTTACTGTGCTCGGAGACAATGCTAACGTTAGCCGCACAACACATTAGCAATCATCTTCTAAAAGTACATTCAAAAACATTACCGAACTATGAACTGCCATTTGTTTTTGACATTGTTATGAAGAGCACAAAGTGTCTGAGTCCTTGAACCACCCTTGAACTAAATCTCACTGTTGAAGCAGTCCAGTGTAAAATATATTTTGCCATTTCACACTTCATAATAATTGGTGGTAATCAGTGATGTAAAGTATCAAATTACAAATACTAACATTAGAACAGATATTTTTACTCTATCTTCAATACATTTTATGGCTAATAATGGTACCTTTACTTGAGTATGATTTTTGATTACTCTTTCCACCACTGATGGTAATACATAGGATCTCGTTAATACATCAGCATGTATGTAATTCTTATGTATTACAGAAAAAAGGCTAACCAGTATAAAAGTTACTGGGCTGTCATTTATGTTAAATGGTTTGATAGCTGCACCAGGGATCTGATTATACTGCAGCTCTTAAACAGAATAATAAAAAAAAAACATCTGATTTTCATGATGTCTTCCTCTGTTTGTCAGGGATGAGCACAGTTCCTGAGGTGACTGTGGCCAAGCATTGTGGACTGCGGGTCATGGGTCTCTCGCTCATCACCAACAAGGTTTCTCTGGACTACAGCCGCGAGGAGAAGGTCAATCATGAAGAGGTGCTGCAGATCAGCAAAATGAGAGCAGAGATGCTCCAGAATGTGCTCATAACCTTTATTGCTCGCTCTCACCAAGTGGAGGCCATCAATGACAACAGCTGTATGTACTCCAATGCTGTGTAGGGTCAGTCAAAGCAGCCGAATCAAGAATGATGAGGCAGTACAGTATAGTATACTACAGATTTGAAATGCACCATGTTGTGGCTATTTTGCTTTATTTGCTTGGTTGAATGTGTAAGAATGTGTTTTGGGGAAGGGTTGATTTAGCTTCACATTGTGTTGTGTTGTTACAGTAATGTATTTTCTTGCATTTTCAATGTGAAAGATAAACAATGTAAATGAACATTGTTGAATTAAATTGTCTCCCTCTGTTGAAATTGTTTTTTTTTTTTTTTTTTTAAGTTAAACATATCATTGGGAATATGTTCAATACATAAACATATATACAATCACACACACTCAAAAATACTTTTGTTCAAACAACTCATTTGAAATTATCTGAATCAACAAAATATTTTTGGGGGGGTGGGGGGGTGTTATGTTCAATCCACTGATTATTTAAATAATCAGTTAACTTAGGGCATACTTACTTACTACATATTTACTTACTATACACTATGTACAGTTGCCTTGAACCAGGCCAAAACACACCTCCCTTTAATAATCTCTTTAATAATCTACGACCATTTGCAATCATTAAACAGTAAGAATGATTAATAAATCCAAATGAAACAGTCCTGTAAAAGTCATGTCTCATCTTCACTTTCGGGCTGAATTTTTGAGCCCAAGTAAACCAAGCTCTGGCACACCTCTTCCAACCAGGCCAGGGCCGGTCAACTGAACCGTGCCTGAGCCTGATTCAGAGCACTCACACTCCTCAAACAATCTGGGAAACGGGCCTGGGCACAGTTCGGATAGCATACTGCAAGTACGCCCTTAAAGGGCACTAGAGATGGGAAGTAACGAAGTACAAATACTTCGTTACTGTACTTCAGTAGATTTTTCTGGTATCAGTACTTTACTCCACTACTTATGTTTTTGACAAGTTTTTACTTTTTACTTCTTTACATTTAAACCAAATTGGTATTGATGTTGATCAAAATGAAAAAAAATATTCACATTAATAATTACTGCAATGTCAAAATTAGATTAAAATCAGAGTATTCTCGGTATGTTTAGATATTTGAGAATAAGCTAATACAGTGAACAAACACTGGTGAATTTAACACCATTTTAAATAACAAGGATAATGGAATTTATATTATATGCCATCTCAACATTTAAGCTTAGATGATGTATTTAATGACAATTTCAGTGGCGGCACAGTGGCTCAGTGGTTACCACTGTCGCCTCACAGCAAAAAGGTCACTGATTCAAGTCCCAGCTGGGTCAGCTGGCATTTTTGTGTGGAGTTTGTATGTTCTCCCCGTGTTCACATGGGTTTCTTCCTGGTGCTCCTGCTTCACCCTCAGTCCAAAGACAAGCGGTATAAAAGAATTGGGTAAACTAAACTGGCCATAGTGTAAGTGTGTGTGTGTGTGTGTGTGTGTGTGTGTGTGTGTGTGTGTGTGTGTGTGTGTGTGTGTGTGTGTGTGTGTGTGTGTGTGTGTGTGTGTGTGTGTGTGTGTGTGTGTGTGTGTGTGTTTGTGTGTGTGTGTATGGATGTTTCCCAGAAGTAGGATGTGGCTGGAAGGACATCCGCTATGTAAAACTGTTGGCGGTTCATTTCCATTGTGGTGACCTCTAAAATAAATACTAAGCTGAAAGAGAATGAATGATATCAGTTACAATAACAATAGCATCATCAGGGATGTGATTTGAACTCTTTTTACTTTTTAAACTAAATGGCTTTCCATTTTCGCCCCAGTAAGATGCAACTCTCAGGGTCAAAGTCCTTCTTCTAATTAGCACCATCTTATAATGAGTATTCTTATCAATAAAATGGATTTTTGCTTAATCAAAAGTTTTTAACGGTGTTGATGTTGCAGCCATAACCTTCTTTGATTTTCTTTAAATGTCAAGTACAGAAACCAAAGACTTGCTGGACTTAAATTCGATTAAATGCAGGCATTCGCATTTCTTTTTTTTCCAGGAGTCAGCATGAAATGTCCCTTTTGAACATTCTGTGTCTTTGAAAGTTGTGTTAGAAAGACGAATCTTAAACTGCGTTAAATCTCTCGCTGAACATAAGGCTGAACTTCGACCATTTAAGCTCGTATATACATTAGCAAGGACGAAACTGCTTTTAGTGGAATAATCAGAGAAATCCAGACCTGCTACTCCATCCCAAATGCCACCCCGGTTAGAAGCTACTCCAAAATACCCAGGACGAAATGTCTGTGTGCTTGCAGATACACCTCAGCAGTCACCCATTTGATAGGCTATTTGCTGAAACTTCAAGATCTGAGGGATGAAAAAGCGCTTTGTGTCTGACATCCAGGCTGAAATCAGACTTCCTAAAAATATCCGTCAATTATCTTTGGAGCAATGCTGAATTACTTGGTAAATGGCTGAGTGAGAGACAAATTATTGCAAAATATTAAAATACCGGCATTCTTTCACAGCACAGTAATTCCAACAGTTTCTATTATAAAGAAGCAAAGTCAAATGAGCACATAAAGGGTATAATTTAGGCGTATGAGTGATCAAGACAAGCAAAAAATATTAACCACAAACATATCCCCATTTCCCACTGGTTGCTCAACAGTGATCTGCTTAATGGATAAATTTCTCTTCCATAAATAACATACACTGAGGCATCTTTTAAAAAGAAAAGTTTAAGTGCTTCCACATCAATTGTAAAACAAAAAACTAACAGGAGCTAGAATGAGTAGAATAGTTGACTATAATCAATGAAGGAAATTTGGCATTAAAGTGAAGGTTACATGTCATAAATATCATTATTACTCTGGATAACTACTGCTTTCTTATTGGCTAGATATATATAAAAAAAGTGAAATGTTGTCAACATTCTTTTGATTCAAAATCATTTATTCTCCACAGTGTGCTATACTCTCAGAATTAAAGGTACGCGAGCTGTCACTGGGCAGTACCTCTTCAAAGCATACATAGTTGTACCTAAAAAGGCTACAGTGGTATTTCAAAAGGTAAATGTTAGTACCCAAATGCACCTAAATGTACCAACATGGTCCATTAAGATACCAATATGGTACATTGAGGCTACAAATATGAACCTTTTAAAAAGGTACTGCCACAGTGACAGCTCCCATATCTTTAATACTGAGAGTGTATGTGCTATTCACAATAAGCAACAGTCATTGTGTGGACGTGATCAATTTCAGAAACAGCTATCATCTGTTTATAGTGTAGGAGGTGGGGCATTTTAAATTCTAGAGAGCGCTTGATTGGATAGAAAATGAGATGAGAAGGTCGATTTCAAACTCATTGCTCTATATTGGTGGATTTATTGTTTTGGAACATGGTATTTTTAGCACTGTATTTTTTTTACCCATAGACATTTTAGGCCAGGGTGGCCCAAACATGGTACTGGTGGCCCGTGTTCTGCACATTTTAGCTACAAATTTATTCAACACACCTGCCTGAAAGTTTCTAATATACCTAGAGAAAGCTTGATTACCTGGTTCAAGTGTGTGCAATTGGGGTTGGAACCAAATTCTGCAGTACACTAGCCCTCCAGGAAAGAGTTTGTTTCTTTATTTAACCAGAAAAAAAAAGAAAAAAAAAACATTGAGATCAAAATCTCATTTACAAGAGTGACCTGGCCAAAAGGTCCACAACACACGACTTATGAAAAAAAAAGAATAATAATTATATATATATATATATATATATATATATATATATATATATATATATATATATACACACACACACACACACACACAGTTGAAGTCAGAATTATTAGCGCCCCAGTTTATTTTTTTTCCCCCAATTTCTGTTTAACGGAGGGAACATTGTTTTAACACATTTCTAAACATGATATTTTTAAAACCTCATTTCTAATAACGGACGTATTTTATCTTTGCCATGATGACAGTAAATGATATTTTACTAGATACTTTTCAGGACACTTCTATACAGCTTAAAGTTACATTTAAAGGCTTATCAAGGTTAATTAGGTTCACTATGCAGGTTAGGGTAATTAGAAAAGTTATTGTATACCGATGGTTTGTTCTGTAGACTATCAACAAAAAAAAAATAGCTTAAAGGGGCTAATAATTTTGTCGGAAAAATGGTTTATATATATATATATATATATATATATATATATATATATATAAAATAAAGGTAATATAAAAATACATTCTAGTCATTCAATTATACTACATTACAATGTTAAAAACACACATTGAGAAATGGACTGTTGTTGTTTGTTATAAAGGATAGAGTGAAATGATTTAATTGGGATGAGCTCGGACATTTTGAGCTTAGACTGAAGAGCATTCCAGGATGAGGGGGCTGCATGACTAAGGGCTCGCTTCCCTATTTCAGTTTGAACCGAGGAACAGACACTTTATGCACACCTGTTTTAGGCATATGATATCATGGATGTGATTGAATGAGATGACACTTGGTAATTTTTGTCATGTTATATAGATTAGAAAAATTTAGATTAGGTTAGAAAGTTAAATTTGTTGTCCTAAGGTAACAGTGCACATTTTGTGTATTCTCAACTGTCTGTGTCTGTCTGTACTTAGGTTAAATGCAGAGCACAATTTCTGAGTATGACACACCATATTTATACATTTCACAACTTTCTTTTTTCTTCTTTTGAAAAGATAAAAATCTGCATTTTATATTTATTTGGTGAGCAGTTGACAGACCCTCTCATTAGAAGGCTGTAATAACACATTAATGCATATCTATCATTATCCATTTGAATTCACAATTAAACCAGCTCTAATTGCAGCTATGGTGTGTCTCTCAGCATCTGAGGTGTAGAGGAGTTGTTTACATGTGCAGGTGCATCTGTGTGTTTTGCTAAGGTGTGATGTGAGCTCCACACAATACACTGCAGGAGTGTTTCATAATGGCCTGGGTTCACACTTTAACTCTCAGCCAGCCAACCCATCTGTGTGTCTACACAGAAAACACCACACACACAAACAAATTTTCATGAGGGTGGCTCAGTTGCACACTAGGTAGCGCTGTCGCCTCACATCAAGAAGGTCTCTGGTTCGAGCCTTTACTGGGTCAGTTGGCATTTCTGTGTGGAGTTTGCATGTTCTCCCTGTGTTCGCGTGGGTTTCCTCTGCATGCTCTTGTTTCCCCCTCAGTACAAGGACAAGCGATATAGGTGAATTGGATAAGCTAAATTGTCCATAGTGTTTGAGTGTGAATTAGAGTGTATGTGTTTCCTAGTCATGGGTTGCAGTTGGAAGGGCAAAATGTAAAA